GTTATTAGTTTACTTATTTAGTTGTACTTTGTCTATATATATGTATATATATATATATATATATATATATCACCTTTGGCACAAGAGTCCTGTCGCCTGTCCATGGGTTCTCTATACCCTTTTTATTTACAGCCATTGCTCCTGTTTAAAGTGTTCGCCTGAAACTCCCATTGTCTAGCATGTGGCGATAGTATACGTCATCAATACATACGTTTAGTGCTCCCTGTTCGGAGCCGTAAACTACCTGTGACATCATCTGACATGTGGTGTCAGTTATTTGATTAACTATTTGGGTGCAAGTAGGAACGTCGCACATGTGCACGTGTGTGGGTACGAACGTACTGGGGTGCAGAACAAGACTTTTTGCATTCATGACGCAAGCCCCAGATAGTAGTATTCAAGTTATTGAAGCGAGAGGCATATCACCAACCATGCCGTCCAAGATAGTAGTACACCAAGTTTGTGAAGTGGTCAACTTGAGACTGATCGAGTCAATCACGCAAATACCAGTATGATCATATTCTAGTCCGGATTTATCCAATCCACAGATTATCGAGTACATCTCGATTCCTAACCTCCTGTTCTGCTTCCCGAGGGGTAGATGGTCATATTTTTAATATATCGATGTACATTGAATCCAGATATCTGAACGTATTCGATCCAAATCCGTGCGTGTTATGTCTACAGTCTCTTTGTCAATCCCTGATTTTTGTGAACCTCAATTCTGTCCGCTGATGTCACCATCTTGGCCCGCGCAGGGATGGCAATGAAGTTGTATTGAACTACGAGTCATCCTATCCCATACACTTCCGCTACCAAGAGCCCTTGACCACATTGGAGAGCATTGGCCACAATGCGTATAGGCCAGCTGATCTACACCCCTTAGAGGGATATTTACAGTGCAACGGTATGTGCTTGTGTTGGCTGCTCACGGAATGGTTACGTACAACCGTGTTGTTGTTTGAGGTCATAGTTCAAGACTAGTTGCACTCCCCTCAATGTTTGCTATGGGCCGTTTTTTCGCCCTGAGTACATACCAGTGACTACATTCGGAGCGACACGGCTGCGATTGGCGAGCGTTGATTTCATTTGTTTCAGTGTTACCATACCTCAATGCGTTTAGTCCCGACCGCTCAAGCCTGTTGGCAGACTCACTTACATGCAATGTCTATTCTGAGCGTCACACGGCAAGCTTAGGGTACTCATAAGGTGGACTAAGTGATGATCGAATTTTTTGTATTCCTATTACGCTTTCGAACGCTATGGGTTTGTTAAATTGAACCATAAATTTTGCATCCTCTCCTATGCCTGCGATACTATAGACACCAAGTGGCGCAAATTGATACCGGAAACCATGCCGATTGCTCATACCTGTCGTATTCCTGTTGGAAAGGTGAGTGTATGCGACGTACGAGTGACGCTGGACGTGAATGCGCATGGCAAGCTGGCTGTGAGGGGTAGCTAACACTTATTTGGCTAGGCGATCAATCGTACGCACTGACTTTAATCGTCTGAATTATATCGAGATGGCTTCATCTGCTCGCTCTCTTTGAATGTTTTGCGATTACATTCTTGTGTATAAATGTCACAGAATTATTAAGATTGCAGTTGTGAGTAACATCCGCACCACATTGCACAATTCCAACCAACAAACCAATAGCTGCACAATACCCCCGCCCTTGGTACTTTACAAATCACCCAGTCCCTTGCACTATACATTACGGTTGTGCTTCTGTTGTATCGGCTCGTATTTGATCATCTCGCTCGTGGTAAAATCGAATTGTACTTCTTCTCACAGTTGTCCGATGCGCCATTGGTGCTGGGTGGCACGCTAGCTGTGTCTGTAGCAGCGTTCGCCTATATCTTGGTTGCTGTTCTGAGGTTGTCAAACAGTCGCCACATTGCGAGGCAGAAGCAAAAGGATCCATGATACTTGGGTGGGCGATCACTAACCTAGAATTGTAGTGCGAGTGACGGAGTATTGTTAATCGCCTGTGAGACTGCTTCATGCTCGTCGGTGTATGCTTGCACTGAGAGAAGCTGGACGGCTTGCTAAAAATCTACTATCGATGGATGCGCGGACATTAATCCACTTCCAATCAATATTCATCTTACAATTTTCATTGTTGCAATTTGGTTAGAATTACTCCAGTTTGGTTGACCGGAGCCTCCAATTATGAGTGAGACCCAGGGTTAACATTGTGGTGGCATTATAGGCTCACCGTGCTGCCGTTTAACTGATAGCAACGTATTGTTCTAACCCTAGCGTGAAGAAGGGAGAGCGCACCACCATGTCATGCGGAGATTCTACTGTAGAATAAGGTCGCTGGCATAATACAAAATGTTCTATAAGCCACAATCACAGCAACGATGAATTGAAGCCCACAGTCGATTCAGACCGTGACCGGAAGGCATTCATGAGTACACACATGTGCGCTTAGACTCCTTTGTATCATTGTGAATTGTGCGAAAGGACACTCCAGAATTCTAGGTCAGTATCCCAAAGGGCCGATCCCGCGCAGGTGAACGAAGTCGCGAAAATCACGATCATCGACAAGTGATTTCTGAAGCAAGCCATGGAAGGCGCATCAGTAGCGAACGAATATCATGTGTGCGCACAAGAAAAAACACAATGATGTCAGAAGACTCGCAGATAAATCTAAGTAGCTCGGCAAACTCCCATGGACGGTTAAAAAATACGCCATAATAGCGACCTCCGCAAGCGGAGCATGCAAACTGTAAAACATAGCGCCTGAGTCCTGTTTCTGCATTCGCATATTCAACGAACTACCTTACCCATATGTCTGAGTGACTCGGCTGTGTGCCTGTGGTATATATAACCAATATATGTTCTGTGAGAGCTTCTAATAGTAGGGTATATATGACCAATATATGTTCTGCGAGAGCTTCTAATAGTAGGGTATATATAACCAATATATGTTCATGTTCTGCGAGAGCTTCTAATAGTGGGTATTTATAACCAATATATGTTCTGCGAGAGCTTCTAATAGTA